TCAGCATTGGAAGATCCACCCCCAAAAGTCATCATTTTAACAGAGGAAAGGAAAAAGCCATATGATCCTGTCAGTAGTTGGAGAAAAAGTATTGGACTAAATTCTATAGCTGTTCATGGTAAAAGCTATCAGGAGACTAGAAGTAGAACAGAACCTTGAGATAGCTAAAATTTATATAAATACCTGTTGTTTGGAAATGATATTTAAGTAACTAATGCTGTGAACATTTTTGTTAACTTATAACATATGAAGATTCTCTTGTTTGAGATGGGGTCTCTCTGTGTAGTCCTGGCTGTCCCTGAACTGTGTAGCCCAGGCTGGCCTCAAACACACAATGATCCTCCTGCCTCAGGCTCCTGAGTGCTGGGATTACAGGTGTGCAACACCATGGGCAGCCCATATTAAGATTCTAAAAGATACAGTTAATATATGTTATGTTGATTAACTGGTATTTGAAAATAAGTGTATTTTTTTTCTGAGTAGCCTTTTGTGATAAATACAGCTTCCAGTCATATGTTACTTTCCTAACTTGTAATGATTAAAAATCCCCTCATCAGGCCCAGGATTTAGCTCAGTGGTGCTGTGCCTTCCTTACAAGGACAAGGTCCTGAGTTTGATCCCAGGTACTGAGGAAAAAAAAAATCCCCTCATCAGGAGAGAATTAAATATCATTAGGTCAGCTGGGGATTTAGCTCAGTGGCACTCACCTGCCTGGCAAACACAAGGTTCTGAGTTCGATCTTCGGTACTAAAAAAAAAAAAAAAAATCACTAGGTCAAAAGTCTAGCAAATTTGAGTTCTCCTTTCTCCCACTTTTGCACATCCACTTGCATCCATCACTTTTCTGCAGTTTCCAGTCTCTCAGAAACCAACACTAGGAAAGTTCTCTAAAAGGCTCAGCTGTGTTTCTAGTCTCTGAATGATCACAGCGTTCCACAAATCGCTTCCTCCAGAGTGAGGATCTCATCCAGAGACCTGACAAAAGGAAGCACTGTTGCCAGGGAGAAGGGTGGACTGCTCGGAGACACGTGGAATTTCTTAGTGAAGTCTTTGATGTGGCTTATCCTATGAGAAATGTCAAATTTTTGAACGATCCTTTTCCCATTTGCTGGCCATATCTGTATATTAGTGATGGGCTCTGAGTTATTCAGTGAAACAGCGGATAAATTATTTTTACTTTCAACTTAGTCTTTGTTTTAGAAACAATTTTTGGTGTGGCACTTCCCAGTCTGTGCCCCTGCCCTGAGAAGGGGTGGAATGCAGGCTTAGTGGAAATATATACTTCATTTTTCTTACCTTCAACTTTAATATCCACCTTCTCCTTATCAAAAATTCCCTGTAATTCTGAAGGCAATGCCCCCTTCTTGATGGCGTTCAGAAACTGCTGACTTGCACCATCAGAATAACTTCTAAAATCATCGTTGACTGTGAATCCATTTTTCCATAATTTTATACTTACATCCACCTGTTTCTTCTGTTCAGTGGAAGATAAGCATTTGGCTCCAATCTTCTGAGCTTCCTCAAAAAGCCTGTAAACAAAATATTCACAATTCCTTTGTCGATTATCACTAAGCGGGTGATTGTCAGGTCCTGTTTCACAA